TTCTAAATTCAATCTTGATCCTTATCTCATGTACATAATTTGATTTTATACAAAGTAAGATTCCAAGCAAAAGATATGATAAAAATGACAACCCAGAATTCCAATACATAAAAGTTAAAAAAAAAACACGTTTAGTATTCCAAAATAAAATAAGGAACAATTGTGTAAGATATGTACCTTCTAAATGGTAGATCTAAATCAAACACAGTACAGATTTCCTGTAGCAAGGTCAAGTAGAAACCGCTGGCTGCTTCTAGGCACCAACTGAGCAGTGCCTGGGACTCGCCTCGCTTGGGATTCTTTCTGTCCTTGGCCTGTGACTGCAGAGTTACTATATAATTCTTAAATCCAAGACTCCACAACTCCTGCTCGACCTTCTTGTCCAAGGCATATTCCAGATCCAGTATGAGGACCTGCTGATATATCTTTTGTAACTGTTGCTGGCATACCCAGGCATCGTTGTCGTTAAGCAGATCCTTGCAACGTTGAACCTTGTCCTTTAACGGTTCCGCTTTCCTGTCAAATGCATTTCACACGTTAATGGAACGCAGATCCGAAAGACAAATTTACATATTCATAATCGATGATGCGTTTACGATTGATGACATTTGTGATTGAGCGAATCTTACTTCAGAGCCTGAACGGCTGCCTTTAGGCCCATATTCCGTCTTCCCTGCGGTCAAATGCGACGTTCTTCACCTGCACAATTTGTCACGCCGTTAATGTCATCCTAATCGAGGGAAAGGAGGGAATCTCAACTTCGCGAGGGCTTTAATTTTGCAAGAAATTTCAAGATCAATCCCTATCTTAACCTCTCATGGGAGATTGTTTCGACCTTCAATCGCGGCCGCTATCGGAAAATTACGTTTTGGACGAGGTACAAAAAGTATTCGTGAGCAAACGTACGTTTCGTCATCATCGATTTGGAAGGGAAAAAAAATCGACTGTGCACAATACGGTTGCAGGAAATCGCGACGCAATTGCTCGCGCTCGGCAGAAAGTTGACTAAGTGGCTGCCATTTTTTTTTCACAGCGCACCAAAAGCACAAATAAGCGCAGCCCGTTACGAATGCGCGACGTAACTCTAACCTAACCTAACGATTTAAATCGGTCTTTGTCGAACGCGTTTTTCTTCCTAAGAGTGAAAAAGTAAAAAAATCAATTAAAAAAGTAAAAAAAAAACCGTGATTTATGCGAAAGTCGCCGTTGCTCGACACAACGAAAATGAAATTACAAATGGAAAAGTATAGGTTAGGATAATCAAGGGATGATCAGATGATGCGAATAATGTATGTGCATAACGTTGTGCAAGCGCAAGTGTACTAACAAAGACGAAGTGGAAATAATTTGGCGGCAGAGTTGAAAAAATATTGACGGAATGACGGCGAACGTTTCGTCGATCATGCAATTTTTGTTTTTGATTATAGGAACATTAGACGGAAGCTCGTGTCACGTTCAAGAGTTATCTTTTTCGGAATAATTTTTCGAATTGCTTTTATGTCATGCAAGAAAATGGACAGATAACGAATTTTCAAAATGTTTTTCATTAACACGTCTCTGCATACCGGTATTTTCTTGAATGTATATATATTTACTTCACAATAAAATGCACTGCACGTTTTGGATGCCGCTGAGGTTAGCTTAGGTATATGTCGATGAAAATGTCGAACGTTGTCGTGAGGTCACGCTTCAGCGGATATTTAAAATCCCTTCGGTATCTGTGGCAACGGCAAGTAAGTACGCATTTATTTTTCTGCAATTCTGTGTACAAAGTGTCTTGATTGAAACTACACATGAAGTCTTATACTTAACCTTTTCTCAGACAGAGATGTTTGATTTATTTATACATCGATGATGACATTAGGAATAACATTTAAAAAGGGGTTTCATATAACAAATCCCTAAATTGATTTGTTAATTCTTGCTCTGCAATTTCAGTTTTTTTGTTGTCACAAGCGAAATTTCACTCAAATTTTTTCATTTTTTAATTTTAAAAAAATAAAGATTTTAACATTTTATTTGAAAAATGGTTTGGTTGTGTAGTAGAGATGTTGAAGAGCAACCCTGAATTTTTTCACATTTTTTAAAAACCTAGAACAGACTTTTAAAAAAACAGAAAAAAGATCCAGATTGTAGATGGAGGGAGTAAAAATATAATTGTATGAGGATTAATTATAATTATATAATTATAATATTTAGTATAAAGTTTGGTAATTATTTTATTAACAGCTTTGTTATTGTTAGTTATTTCTGTTTTTTGCTTATTCCAGCACAGCACAGTAATTGATTCAACCAAGACCAAGCAACAGAATTTAGAAGCTAGACAAAGAGAAATCATGGCACGTGGCCTTCCAAAACGGAAACGCATAAAGGAAGTGAAACAAATTTTGCTTATTGCCTCTGGTAAAGGTGGCGTTGGGAAATCGACAACAGCTGTAAATTTGGCAACTGCTCTAAAAATTATCGAACCGAGGAAGTCCATCGGGTTGTTGGATGCTGACGTTTTCGGACCTTCTATACCTCTGATGATGAACATACATGAATCACCTGCTCTAAATCAAGAGAATTTCATGGAACCTCTTGTAAATTATGGTGTAAAATGGTGATTAACTATCAAATGCTTCAGATAATCAAATAAATGGGGGTCATACTTTATAATTTTATATTTCACGCATAGTATGTCTATGGGATTTTTAATTGATGAGAAATCACCAGTTGTTTGGAGGGGACTCATGGTGATGAGCGCATTGGACAAACTAGTAAATCAGGTAGCATGGGGACCACTTGATTATCTTGTTATTGACACTCCTCCTGGGACAGGAGACACACATCTTTCTTTGATCCAGACTCTCTTTATCGCTGGTGCATTGCTGGTAACAACACCGCAGAAAGTTGCGCTAGAGGTGACCAGGAGAGGTGCAAATATGTTTAAGAAGTTGAACATTCCTGTCGCTGGTATCGTGGAAAATATGAGCAGCGTTACTTGTCCAAAATGTATGACGGAAGTACCTCTCTTTGGTAACGCCACACTCTCGCTAGCTAAAGAACTAGGTAATAAACTTATCAGTAATTACATTATTTATAATTAATAATAAGCTATATGTGAACTATGAATGTATAAGTTGTAACTGTACGAATATTTATATGAAAAGTATATTAATGTCTTTTTTTCGTGGCTTGTCGTAGGTGTAGGTATTTTACAGAAGATACCGATGCACGAGAGCATCGCGGAAAGTTCAGATAGTGGTAAACCGATTGTCCTGGCAGCACCAAAGAGCAGACAAGCAGAAGCTTATAGAGAATTAGCAGAACATGTTGTTACATTTTTAAATAAGCAGGAAATGAATGAAGAATAATAAAATAGAATGACTAAAAAAACATCTTTCTTATTCTTCTGCATATATCAATAAGGGAATATTATTATCGGTATTTCCTAAAGTATTACATATTGACTTGTAATGTGTTATGGTTTTTAATATGTATATACATATATATTTGATAAAGTAATTAATATTTATAATAAATGTTTCATATAATATATAATATAATAGGTTACAATCTTTTTATAATAATTCAAATGTGAATTTATATGCGATTATTAATTTTTTCTTTTAGCTTTAAGTTTGTTTTTTGCAGCCGAACATTTTTATATTCTAAAGCCTTGTCCACGATGCTAGAAATCAATCCGAGATCTCGGATGGAGAAAGAATTGATCAATTACATTGGTCAAGTGATTCAATTGTTCAAAAATATGATTTATTAATTTTTTATCTGTCCGAGACCTCGGGCTGGTTTCTAGCATCGTGGACACAAAATATTGGCCAACCACATCTCTTTGCACTTGGTTGCATTGCGAACGGGGCATGGACATGCGCTATTGCGCTTTCTGCATTCTAAATCGGACTTGAGCGTCCCGTTGGTGTCGGCGGTGTCGGCACTGGTCGGCATTCTCGTGTTTTCTCAATTTTGGCGGGCCGGTCGCTCTGCTCCTGCTCGGCTTTCGCTCCTCAATTTTCTCTCGACTTAATAAATTTACGGCGGATAAATGATGGCAGATAAGGACGGAGGTAAGGACACACGTATTTTCGATATTTGTTTCGGCGTGCTTCACTTTCTTACGAAAACAAACAATTCGGTCGGCAATCTCGGAAGGACGCTGCGACATACCGCTACCGCCGTCTTCCTATCAGGAGCATGGCACGGTCTTATCTTTCCTCTCTTTTTCGTCGCGTGTTGGAAGCATAAAGAAAAAATTCGAACGACAAACGAGCTTGATTATGTTCTTGACAACGGAAGTCGCGAAAATCCCGCGTCTCTGGAACTGGTCGACAGTCCATCGAACACTGCGATACGTGCGATTATACTTACTATATATATTATATATATACATATATAAAATAACTAATGGCATCTTAAACAATAAATAAACTTAGGAAATGTTTCTTGCGCACCGGATCGGTCGTTTGAATGCAGTGTTTATTGAGCGATTACAATTAAGCGTTTCGAGAACATTCCATTTCGATTAACGTTAAATTAAAGATGGGTCTCATCGATAACGACTGTTTCTTTATTTTTCCGCTATGTATATATATTCTTAATTAAAATAATACATCTTTAATATTTATATAAATAAATAAATAAATTATTTTAATTTTAAAATAAATACGATTAGTAATAACGTAAGATTTAACACATTGGAGGGTATACAACAGAAATAAATTATGGTACAATTGGCGAGAGAGTATGATTCTTCTTGTAAAAAAATTTGCGGAATATATTTTCTTTGATTGGTTGCACAGTCCCTCATCAAACACGGTTTTAAACACGAGAGTAATGTCTTTGTCGAGACTTGAGTGTATTTCTTTAAAACATTTGCCTGCCGCGTGTAATTGGATATTGTTTATATGAGCAACCTTAAAGTTTGTTTATATGACATTACTTATTTATTGTAAGAAACGTTATTATTGCCTCTGATAGTTAGTTCTCACTGATCTTTAAAAATGGAAAGACGAAGCAGTCGTTTAGCTAAATTTCCAAGTCAATCAAGACCAAAATTTGGAATGGCCTGATGTAAGAAATCTTAACCTTGCACCATCTTCTATGATGGATGAATTAAATCATATACTTGAACCTACACCATCTACTATGATGGGTGAATCGCAACCGATTAAAGGTGTGTTGACTATGATTCAAGAAGCTGAATTGGAGAAAAACATCAAAAAAAGTGACAAACCGAATAAGAAACATACACCAACTAAGATTGTAAGGATTAATTCTATACAACCAAATGTACCAAATATCAAAAGAATTAAATGCATTGGACTTGAATCTACACAAGGTAATTATTATAAAACACCCTATATAATGGGAACAATATACAAATATATAAGTATAGGTTCTCTCTTATAATCTATTTAAAATCGTGTACTTTAAAAACTGTGCAACCAATCAAAAAGATCAGTTATCTTTTATTTATGAAAATGAGAAACTCGTTATTTTTACTAATATTACATTTCTAATTCATCTAATAGTTTTTTCGTCTATTATACCTCGCCAATTGTTTACCTACATTAAATAATTTATCCTGTCCAGTAATTATGTATTATATAATTTGTATTATTTTATATTTTATCGAAGTATTTTCTAAGATACAGAAATTTTATGTAAAAGGAGATTTAAGCGCCGCTGTTTGTTCAGAGGGCTTTGACGACGCTGTGGAGGAACGTATTATCAATGAGGAATATAAAATATGGAAGAAGAATACACCATTTTTATACGATCTTGTGATGACACATGCTTTGGAATGGCCTTCTTTAACGGCTCAATGGCTGCCCGATGTCACCAGACCTGAAGGAAAAGATTATTCAATCCACAGGTTAATTTTAGGCACTCATACTTCAGATGAACAAAATCATTTGCTCATCGCCAGTGTCCAGCTGCCGAATGAAGATGCCCAATTCGACGCTTCTCATTATGATAATGAAAAGGGTGAATTTGGTGGATTTGGTTCTGTGAGTGGCAAAATCGAGATCGAGATTAAGATTAATCATGAGGGTGAAGTTAATAGAGCGCGATTCATGCCACAAAATCCGTGTGTAATCGCAACAAAAACTCCCTCGAGTGACGTGCTTGTATTTGATTACACCAAACATCCCAGTAAACCGGATCCCAATGGAGAATGCCATCCGGATTTGAGGTACTTAATGATTTATTAAGCAAATAGATCATGAACACACGAAGTCTACTATATTTATGTTAATATTATGTTTATTGTATATATTTAAATATTACAATTGCAGATTGCGAGGACATCAAAAGGAAGGCTACGGACTTTCATGGAATCCGAATCTCAATGGATATTTACTTAGTGCGTCTGACGACCACACGATTTGCTTGTGGGACATCAATGCCACACCGAAGGAAAATCGCGTTATCGATGCGAAAACTATCTTTACAGGGCACACAGCCGTAGTTGAAGACGTTGCTTGGCATCTGCTACATGAATCATTATTTGGTTCAGTCGCTGACGATCAAAAGCTCATGATCTGGGACACTAGGTAATTGCCATCTTTAACTGGCTACATTTACACTATGCGCTTAATCCGCGACCTATACGATAGATGACTTTGTTTATAATAGGATGAACAATGTTGTAATGTTTATCCTATATACAATGTTATAGACAATTATGTAAATAATGTTACAATAGGATAAACAAGAACACCTATTGTCTAGGTCGTGGACTAAAGGCACTGTATACATGTAATCATTAATAATACAATTGATTAAATATTTTTTAGACTTCTAGGCAAATCTATTCTTTTCATTTTATATTTTAAAAGTCACTTAAGAATATAGATAATACTTAAGTTAAAAATATTCAAAAATTTTTTATATATAATAAAAAATTGCAAGAAAATTTATATTCTCTGTTAATTTATAGAATCAGTATTCTCTTGATACAATTGATATTAATGCCATTAAAATTATAGTTTAATGCAGTGTATTGGGAAACGTATTGCAATATATATTATATCGTTAAATTTGTTATATTTGCAGATGCAACAATACTAGTAAACCAAGTCATACTGTTGATGCTCATACCGCTGAGGTAAACTGCTTGAGTTTTAATCCGTATTCTGAATTTATATTGGCTACTGGCAGTGCTGACAAGACTGTGGCACTTTGGGATTTGCGAAATCTTAAATTGAAGTTACATTCATTTGAGTCGCACAAGGATGAGATCTTCCAGGTCCAATGGTCACCACATAACGAAACTATATTAGCAAGCAGTGGCACAGATAGACGATTACATGTTTGGGATCTCAGCAAGATCGGCGAGGAGCAATCCAGCGAAGATGCTGAAGATGGACCACCAGAACTTCTGGTAATTACGCAAATTTATGTTACGAAATTAATAAATAGCCAAAACAATTTTTTCAAAAAATTTTGTAGGTATATTATTTTTTTCTAATTTACAATATTCTGTTTTTCGATATCTTTATAAATTTTTAAATTTTAAGATTCTATGTAATATTTGAAATTAGCTCCTCTAATAATTTTCTAAATATGTTTACAGTTTATACATGGAGGTCATACTGCGAAAATAAGCGACTTTTCATGGAATCCGAATGAACCGTGGGTCATATGCTCAGTATCGGAAGATAACATAATGCAAGTGTGGCAAATGGCGGAGAATATTTACAACGACGAGGAACCCGAGACACCTGGAAGTGAGATTGAAACTGGTGGCTCATAACGTGAAATATAATTCATCAAATTGTTTTGAGCTATCGTCACCCCCCAACTGAGGATAAGCGCACCCTCGTTGCGCCATGTTGTTGAACATCTTGGTGTAACGAGCATGAAGACATTCCTTTTCACCAAAGAACAATAATTCTTGCTTTTTATAATTCGATCGTACAAAAGATGTAAATAACAAAAAAGAAAGATTCCATTGTTCAGCGAATGTATGCCATTTTATCGGATTTGACTAAACATATTTTTCCAAAATTTTGAAAAAAATTACGAATAACTTTAAATATTTTTGAAAGAATAAGAATAGCGAGTATTATTGTTTTACGGTGACGAATTGGCTATGTAAACAAGAAATTAAATTAGCTAGCTAGCTAAATAGTTAGCAATAATAAAATAACTGCTAGTTACACCCTTTATGAGCCATCCTCGTACGAAGGCACTATTTCTCTGTCACAGTGAATAAGAGAACTCAAATGACATTAGGGGATGCCAAGTACTTTTTCTACTTCGTTTTAAGCGTGAATAAAGAAATTATGTAAACTCGAGTGATGTTTAGCTTAATTTACGCTTTCCCAGTTTCATTTATTATCATTTTTGTGATTTTCTCTTTCTAATTCACGTAATTTAAAATTAATATATGTTTAACTATAAATCTAAAATAAGTAACAGATTCTATACAGAATAAAGGATTGTTACCATTTCTAGAATTACACAGAAAAAAATTATTTTAAACGACCTACAATTTTCTTTTTATCTGTACCAGACAAATGTGAAGAAAGCACACGAATAATCTTTATATTATCATTGTACAAATCCTATAACATGCCCTTTATATTATAATATATGGTAGAATTAGCGACGGGTTTTCTTGGCACTTTGCAAATATAATAGGAACGTGCATTTTTTTTTCAAGATAAAATATACGTATATATATGTATATATTAGACTTTGTTCCCACATTATAAAGCTGTTTGTGAAAGCTCGTTGTATATCTGCGTGAATAAGGATCCGTCGAAGCTGTTCAACGATACACTGTCCTTGCTGTCGATACTCGTAATTCTGAAAAAAAAATAAAGTTTTCGCGTATGTTATCCCGTCAATTAAATTCGTATTTATTAATCAGCGCAATTAATTGATCGTTCATTACCAAAATCTGCGCGTTAAATGGACATCGCTTATAGAGCGTGTCTTATGCCAGCTGCGCATGCGAAAGAAATTATTTGCAACACCAGTAATTATTTGTACTTTGAAATCGAATAAACAGTAATTTTCATACATTTAATAAATTATAATTATACTGAAGTCGTAAAAAACTCACCCTTTTCCAGCGTCTTGCCGTTTAATACCGTCGAGCAAGCTCATTATAGAAGGTGTCAGGGTCGGACGAAATACCTGAAATAGTCACGTTAATTTTATTAAGATTGAGTTAATTTTAATTTATCTAGATGAAATTCCTCGGAAACTCACAGTTACGGCCGCGCATCGCATCTCGCGGAGGTCGATATTCCTAAAGAGGTCGTGGATCAGCAATTCCTCTATACTAGTGAAACGATTTTCCGATTCCGTGAATATCAGCTCGAGAAATCTCACGACCTAAAATCGAAATACATAGCGTTCGGATTTTTATTTTATGAATGGACCATATTGAATTATTGCGATTGATTTTTACCTGCGGATACATTTCGATGTCTGATAGCTGGACGGCAGATGGTCTAAAGGTACATAATTCGTAGCCGGCGCACATTTCGAATAGCATATGCCCTGATAATATAAAAATAAGTTTATCATAAAGTTACCTGTTATTGTAAAATTAAATTTGAAAATAAAATACATTTATTAAAGAAATGCGACATTAAACTTAGTTTAACAAAAAATCATTGAACACAATTTGGTATTTTATATTGAAATATATATATATCGCTGAAAGAAAGCTATGTAGTAAAAATTGTTAAAATATTCTGTTGCAAAATATGCAATTCACATTTTTCTACAAACTATAAATATCTAATTTAAAATATTCGTATTTGATCTTTTATATTTTGCTGGAAGATATAAAGAGCGATAATGAAAATTGTATTAAAAAGTATCTCGTTGAAGCTGAAATTAATAACGAAAGCTTGATTTAAAATCCGTTTGAAAAGCTTTGCATTGAAAAATATTGCTCTTTACCGAAACATATAATATCAATCGAAGTGGAATGTGTTAATCGGGATGTCACGATGGGATGTATGCGACTGGTAAAGCCTAGAAGAGTATTCTCCAGACCGGCCAGTCTCGCAACGCCGTTTTGAATCACTACGTTGCCCGAGTGAAGATGAGTCACTGTGGGAAATCCCCGTTCCTTTAGGAACACTAACGCTTCTAATATCTGTCGTCCCATTCGTTGCACTTGTGGTAATTTGAGTCCCTTGCCTCGTGCGGCATACTTATGAATCCAGTCCTCGTTCCAGCAATTTCGCTCGATCTGCCACAGGATATTATTTCACTAGGACATCACCCCGTTTTCATATATACATACAAAGCACCGAGAAAAATTCTTTGCGTTTCTAGCGACCGAAATAAATCTTCAATTATCCTAAGATCTTACATTATTTTAATTAATTAATGAAGTTTAATTTACTAAAGAGTTTAATTAATTAATAAAGTTTAATTTACTAAAGATGTTTGACGTTGATATTTAAAAAGATGAATAGAGTGGTATTTAATAAAACTTCACTAACAATAAGGCGAAAAAGTAAATAAAAATTAATTTGAATAAGATGTACGAAGATGAAGTTTACATATATGTGTATTTTTATTCATTCTCGTCTGAAGAGCTGAATATATTTCTATGCATAAAATACTTACGCCGTATATTAGATCCTTGAGGCTGCCCTGGTTGATAGGTTGCACTAGGACGATATATGTTTGGTCCTCATATTCAAGAAAATCGACATGAAAAACAGGACAGATGTAGGGATGTTGTAAGGCCAGGAATAGATTGTTCAAGATGTCTTTGGTAGAGGGACAGGCAGTCAGCGGACAACTTCGATTTAATGGTACTAAAGTCAATAGTCTGTCCGTCTTCAGCGATGTGTCCCTCACCATGAACCAATACTTATCTACTCTCGATCCTGAAAGAAAATTTTAACGATTCTATTAATTTTCTTTTTTACATAAATTTTCGAAGATATAGCCAATAAATAACTGATATGAGTAAAAAAATTTAAGTCTCTGAATATATAAAATTAAATTATCGATATAATTCCGTAACTCTTATTCCTAAACTCTTTAATTTTTTAGCTCCATAGGTTTCCATAATTTATCTTCAATTTACTATTTTTTCTATCTTCTCGGTACATAATATTATCGAGGAACGCGTTACGGTTTCAGGGAGGTTTTCATGCATTATACATTTTTTATTTAATATTTTGATGGCTTCGACGGAATCATGAAAGCGAAGAGGGCTCACCGATGTTGTTGAGCTGCTTAATGAGAACAAAACGTGGTGTTTTTCCGATGTAGTCACGGCAAATTGATAAAGCACGATCGCGGGATCTCTTCTCCATTTCCATGTACTCGACTCCATCCTCGCTGACAGATTTCGACCCGTGATTCAGTACCGTGTAACGACCGTGTCTGTTAGGAAGATGCAAAATCCCATTTGATCATTCCTTCTCATATTTAATCTCTCTCTTCTTTTTTCCGTTCAGTCTTTTTCCGAAGGAGATAAAACGCAGGCTTCGGCATCGTTTAAATTGACGTACGTAGCGTCGTTTTAATTGATGACGATTTAAATATCCTGAATATTTAGAACTCTCGAATTTGCATTCAGAATCCAGCAGTTATCAGATGGCTGTTTTAAAAATCTGCTGTGGTTATTAAAAGGAATAACAATAAATAATGATAAATAATAATAAATAAATAAAAAATACAAACTTTTTGCCGAACTTCTAAGAAACTAGCAGAATGAAGCAGATATGTATAATACTATAATAATGTGTTTTATAAAACGTTTCTACGATTATTAAAGGGAGTAATAATAAACAAAAGAAATATATAGATTGCTAGATTGATTTTAAAAAATACAGCAGAATAAAATTACATGCGTATGGGACATTTTAAATCGCTTAAGAGTTTAATATCGTTTCTCTATTTTATAAAAACGTTCTCTACCTGTCGTCGAAAGTTGCCGCGCAGCCGCTTTGCGTTTGCCTAGACAACTCCTCTGCATTATCGTGCCTCTTGTAGTAACAAAAGCGGATTAGATTCGCGAGCCACGGATTATGGTGCGGTCGCGTACCACTAACGCGCCACGTTGCTCTGTGGCTGCAAGAGGTTTCATCCAATAAAAGAAAAAGAAAGAAGACGGACCGCCACAGGGGTCGTATATATCGTCGTACAAAGTCGGTCTTAACGCTCGGCTTGCGTTCTCATGCAAAAGCAAGATAATTGAATTAACGCAATCACGTCACGTGCCGAGTGCCTCGGGACTCTGCGTTGCCGTCGTTCCGAATGATCGGAGAAGGAAATATTTCGGAAGCGATATTTCGAAAATGATAAAAGATCTTTTAGTCCCGTGACACTCTTCGTATTTTGCCTGGCATTATTACCTGCGTATCGCAACACGAAAATTTCCGTCTACTCGAGGACCGTCGCTCTTCGAAAGCTTCCGATGAACGCTCTGTTGCGCACTTATCATTATTGACCGGATGTTTTTTACGAAAATTGTCGTATTATTATAGTACAGAAAAACAATTGTTATCGTACACTCCTGATTACAAATGCGCGAAATCGAAAAATCGTTGCTCGTGCCGATAAGAGCTGAATGTTTGAGATGTCTTCGATGGATTCTCGTTGATGGTTTACAAACAGAGATGCCCGAGTATGCGCGGCGTGACACGAATAATTGAAGCGGCTAGTTTAATAGGATACACAATGATGTCAGCGAACAATATTAGATCTGATATCGAGCGGAGATGCCGTTAGTGCAAACCAGGAAAATCATTGATTATGTAAAGCGATAATATTGATAATTATTTACGTGCCTGTTGAGTTTCTTGTTGCAGCAACAAGTAATGGCTAATTCAGAACCGAGAGAAGTGGTACATGCTATTGCTATATGTGTGAATAATACACATCCCGAGAGGATAAACCGGCTCATCGAGGGATCATTGTATATCTCGTCTCCCGAAGGAGGGTAGTTGAGTCGGGATTTATATTTCACGTTTTGACACAATTTCCTTTCCTCACAAATGTGTTTATTCCTACCAGATGTGATTGGTTGAAAGCTCAATACGAAAGGAAATAACTTTAATCGACTCTTTTATAAAAATACATATTTCTGAAATACTTGAACTTTGAATTATTAATCGTCTTTCGATTTGTAACTCTATTCTTTTAATTTTGTAACGTTTTATAATCTATAATTTTACTTTATAACTCTATCATATTGCCTCTATGATTCTATAATTATAGTTCCAAATTTTATATCTAAACATAGTTCCTATGATTATAGCTCCAATTCTACACATGTTTAAGTAGCTCGATCTATAATATTCCATAGCTCTACAACTTCATAATTTTCTCTTAAGCTTTAACTTCATAATTCTCTGTAATTTCCTTTTCCGTGATAATTTGATAATCTTGAAACTTTTTAGAGTCCCTACATAATCGTATAATTTTATAATTCCGTAAGTCTCCCTCAAATCCATAGTTCATAAATTATGGATTTTGTCTCCGTCAGTTAATTTTAACCGACCCCGAATCCGGCATGAGACGGCTAAAGATGACCAAAATACGCGCCTTTTCATCCCTAAAAAACTCACTTGACGTCTCCCTGATCCTTGTATCCCCGCGCTGCCGACACGCGACTGAAGAGTAGCCGCGCCAGATTGTCCAGCTTGTTCGCCAGCTGATGGCCCTTGTCATCCTCGCTCTCGTTCTCATCCTCCGTACTCACGCTACGACCTCGTCGCAAGGAACCCCGTGCCGTGCTCATCGCCCTGGCGTTCAGCTCGGTGGCACTCTGCGTCCTGCGATTGACGGCACGGCGGCGGCGACGAGTGCTCGAGTGACCAGTACGATGCTGACAGAATCTGTCATGACCGGTCACCTCTGACTCGCGATTCCGCTGCCCGTCACCGTCATCCTTCTTGTTTAGGCTCTGGTAGAGATTGAACATCGTTGCACTGCGATTATCTTGGCAAGTACTGCTGTTTGATCCCGCGCCCCTGAAATCAATTTTATCACTCTGCCTTTTGAGTCTCATCTCTAAAAAAGTACTTTGGCGAATTGCTTTGCTTTCTTTCTGAATTGATCCACAAGATCTCACTATTTTCATGCTTTTACGTAAAATTAATACTATATGTCAATATTTAATAAGATTTTTACATATTTGTAACGTACGTTTAATAATCATTGTAAAAATAATTAATGACTGAGTCTTCTAATTTCTTCAAGTGCAAGTAATTTTCATTCAAACGAAATTTAGGAGTCTAATTCGTTAATGGTATGAGAAGAGATTTTTAGAATGATAAACTGACTGTGAGACATGAAATTTTATTTTTGTCACGATAAAATTGAAAATATAATATTGTATATCACATGTTATTAAAAGTAAATATATTTCTTGTATTGTTTTATCGGAATGTTATTTCAATTATATTGTGAACAATTTTTTTGCGAAAAGGTCAAATGTATAATATTGAGAATGGCTTATTAATTTTTACAAATATAAAATATTTTCAAGGAAGGTTATATCATTTAAAAAGTAATCTGTCGCATCAAATTATTTTTATATTTCAAATTCAAAGACATTTGACATATTCGAAATTCATAAACACTTGAATTTTTCTCTCGTGCAACATTTATTCTATTATTTACAGGTATTCTTTCAAATAATAGAGAAAAAAAAGTATGCATTCAGCTTTTGTTAAAGGATTTAGTCCTCTGCGTTAAAATAAGAATGGAAATAAAAGGAAGAAAAAGTTTGAACAAGGTTTTAACAAGCTTTACAAACTATCGTATTTTTCCTCTGACCTTTCTCGATCTAATTTTGCAATCGAAGCAAATTATTGCGAGTCAACGTCGCAAAAGATACATGCGAATGCATTATTAAGAGCGGAATCGTCCTGCTATTAATACTGTTCTCGAGATCGATATGAAGCGAATAAACGCTTCCACTCGAAACACCGATCATTTGTCAGCGTGCACAGGAAGCTCTGTCTCAAGATTCTCAAGTATCTCGCGCTTGCATATCTTGAAACCTATTGGATGTGGAGAGAAAAATGTCATAAAGGAAGATAGCGCATTCTCGATAGTATTACATGATCGAATTAGCATTATTATTATAGAAGTCCTGCTCTTTGTGATATATTTTTTTTTGCCTTTTATATTTCTTTTGCATCTTTTGCCCTATATATTTATGAAGAAATCTGAAGGTATTATGGGCATAAAAAATTGTTTTTATAGCAGAATATCGTTAATATAACGGTATCATTAAACACTACTTTTTATCAAATTAGTAACTATTAAGCTTAAGTAGTTCAAGAAGTATATTGATCGCTCGAGATAATTCATGAGTGAAGTAGTGCAAGTATTATTGCGCCGGGCGATCGTAATTATTAGGTTCTTTCATCACTTTCTAAAATTTAATTCTGTTTTTTATTAAATCAATTAATATAAATAATAAATAATTTCAGCGAAATTAATAGTGCTGATATTAAAATCATTAATTTTGTTAATATTATTTTTTAGTATTTGTTCGTTGATCTATTAATTCAATTAAATCATTGTAGGTATTGAAGCAAGTTTCTTCTTAATTCTTAACTCTGTGCGCTTTCTGTTGAAACGTATTAATCCAGATCGATGCACATTAATCTGCCACTTACCGTTAATAAACGTAAATCGCTGCTGGATATTGAATTTTCTCGTGAAACTATTCGACAAAATATCACAGAGAATCTCGGTTGGTCCGCAGAATCGTTGGTCACTGAAATCTCTGCGCGTACAGCGCTATCAGGAATGCTTAAAAATATAATATAAAAATATAAATATCTTTATGTATTAAATTAATTTTAAAAAAAGGAAAATATATTCAGTTTTCTCTTATTTGACTATATTTAAATCAATTTAATTTTACAGAACATCTTGAAATAATAACAATATGACAACATAAATAAATAGAAATAATTTGATAAAATATTAAGGAAACAATAAAATTTGATAAAATGTTAAGAAAAATTTAAACGTCATTACAAATATATGTATATTTTATAATCTATAATAATTGTTTGTAAGAAAATAAAGAGTATTTCCGTAGTATCAGGATGTTATGAGTATCCTTATTCGTGTTGCTCAGCAACGAAAGTGCGATATACACTGAGGAGTCAATAGTATATTCCACATTTTTAAGAAAAAAAATAATATGAATACATAAACCTTGCATTTTTTTAAAATACATAAATTTTTCTTTTTAAATATATAAATAAATTTTTGCGATTCAAAAGAAAAGCGCAGTGTTATCAAAGATTTAATTAAAAAGACTCTGGGGATATTATTTTGAATGATAATCTAATAAACGTTTCACGTCACGTTCTTTGTAAAAATATTCTTATTTTTCATTCCATTCTTGCTATGAAATCCGCTTCTGTTTGAAATATTGTAAGGCGGAAAAAAAATTGAATTTTACTACTTCGATAAATAAATTGGTCACCGTACCGAAGGGATTGAAATCGTGACGATTCACTGTAGCTTTTCCAGAGCAAGTACAACGTACTCGGGATAAGACTCCGAGCCTCCTCGCGGGTTATCGACCCCGCACGGGGTTGTGTAGGCAGTGTATGGCGCGCGAGGATTCCAAGGAACGACACGCGGGGTGCCCGCCGCGGCGGAATCGCGACGCGCGACTCGAAATGAAGACGCGTGGGTGGAGACGGCGCTCGGCGGCCTCCGCCGAGCAACGGGGCTGGGTGGACACTGATGAGAGCGCGCGATCCCGGAGACGGCGGTGGGCCGCGACCGACCCGGCGCGACACAGATTCCGTTCCGCGCAACCACCCTCCCGCACCTCGCCCTTACGAGGACGTAAGGTAAATGTACGGACGGCCGCCGGATATCTGACGCGAAAAGTTTGGCAACCTGTGGACTCCTCGTTTGTGTAGAAGATCCGTGCGAGGGATATCTCAGAAAACTTCTTTTCTCTCGTCCTAAATCCGTAGATCGACTTATGTAAACTCGACGAAACTAATGATTCTTGTCGCAACTGATGATGAAAGGCGTTTCCGAAGCGTTGAAAGTGAAAAGCTTCTGAGGATAAAACAAACTTATAAGCGTTTTCCGATTATCAATTTTGGCAAGCAAGAATTACTGTTAGTCTCGCTAGATATATAAAATAAACAGCGCAAAAAAATAATTGTATGAAAAAAATATTAATGAGATAATTATATGGGATAGCTAGATATCTGCCGTACGAATTACGTACATTTTTCTTCAAGATATTTTTAATTGAACAAATCTGAACCCATACAAATGAAATTGAACACATACACGAGTTTGCACGTGACTCGGGTTGTTCTGCATTTTTGCTTGAAGATTCTACGACTTTAATGCCTGCAGTTTTAAGGCTGCTTTCAGGGACAGTAAATATATCTGAGAAATCCTAAATAGTTCGGTCTAGAAATATGTAGCGTTACTCTTTTATCGTACGCAAGTTTTTCAACGGAGGAGAAAGTATAAATTATATAAACAGTAGAGAGCTTCACATTATAAAATTTTATATATATATATGTATATATATATATAGAGAGAGAGAGAGAAAGAGAATATATATAGAAAAAAATTAAATTTTTTAAATTAAATTCTTTATATTTAAATACTTTTATAATACCTTTTTAAAGATATATTTTTTGGTACATAAAAAAAGCTTTTTTAATTTGTTGTATTATAAAATAGAAAAACAACATTTGTACTTTTATGTATTTTCTTCTTTCTTTTTTGTAACATGTCGAAAACGTAGATAAATTATCTCGTTTATTCTCTCGCGTTTTCTTCTTCGTCCTGTACAGTTTTGTATTGCAATTTCCACTTCTTTATAGGACAATCATATATCTGCAATTCATATATTTGTTATTCATAAATATATAATATTACATGTGCGATTGTATTTTGTTTATAATAGAACAGAAAAAAATTCTATTAAATATTAAAATTTCTCTAAACTTTAATTTAAAAAATTTTAAAATAAAATAAAAATGATAAACCATAAGAACTTTTTAAATAATGCTTGTATGTAATATTAATAAAGATATATATTTAATCAGATATATATTTGATCAACATATATGTTGATCATTTTATTATCTTTACTATTAAATAAATTACATTTTTTTGTACTTACATCTGCTACAAATTGCAAAGCGGAACGATAAGTAAGCTCATTTTTCGCACGAGAGCCCCACGTAAACTCAAAATCCATTGGATCATTCTTATTTTTTATTACTTTTTCAAGATATCTCTGATTTACAAAATCCTATATGTGAATAAATACCATTTAAAAATGAACTACAATGATTACGTAAATTGCAATAGTTGGTATTGATTTTTACCACTGTCACTAATTGTTTGATGTCGCCAAAGTATTCATGTTGAAAATTATCATCAGTTATAATACCTAGATTTTGAAGAAAATCCCACAGTATTTCTGTAAAAATATTTCACTTATTTTCAACATTAGCTTATTAAATAGTTTCTCATAAAAATTTAATATACTATTTACATCACAAATCAATATATCAGGTATGTATTAGACAACATATAAATTATCAAAAAGCAAAAATTACCTTCTTTGCATGATTCACCATACATAAAAATATGAACAAGTACAAGATACAACAGCACCAGCTTATGATTATCGTTGAAGGTGAGATGTGGAAGATCATTTTCTATTTCATTCACCAATATATACTTATTACCTTCAATTTCTACTAAACTGTATCCAAATACCTTTTAAATACCATAATTTATGTGAAATTTTTTATCTTATAAATACAATTTTTAAAATGGTTTGCTTTGTAAGAGCAATTAAGTAATTACATTATCATTCAAAAAATAGTTAGTATTCATAAAGTAAACAAACATACCTGAGACAGTTGTATATTTACACTCTCTATAATAGAACGAAATACTTTGCTATTTCCATCTAGTATATGTTTAATAATGTGTGATTTCTGTATAGGTAGCTTGTTGCGATCTGCCATGAAAAGGTATCTTATTATACTACTGATTAGTTGCATTTCTTTTTGTGTCTCCATATCCTGCGAACTCATAATCTGTGAATCCTTGATGGTTGAACTTCTAGTACGTCGCGATGATACACTGGCCTGGCTGGCTTGGCTACTCGGGCCAGGATAGTCTTGGGATAAAAACATATCTTCGCTACTCTCTCTCATGTTGCGACTGCTCTGGGATCCTCTTTTTCTACCTAATAAACACATATCAATCCTTATTCATTGTACAGAATATTAGGTTATGATAACTAATGCTACTCCGCAATTAATAAATAGAAGACATTATTTTGTACACGTAGATATACATTTTTCTCTGAACTTCCTTCTGTCTCTTTTCTTAGATATAGAATTTTGAACGTGAATAGTTTCATTAAAAAATAGAAAATAATACACTATATTCTTACTCATTCTGAACAGATCACACGAATATCACTTTAGAAGTAAGCTTTTACGTGCTTTGTGATAGCTTAAGAGAGATCTATTGTTCTCAAAATACTAAATATAAGCTAAAAATGCGCAATCGTGGATTCCAAGCCGCTTTATCTCGAAATATTTCGAATAAATATCCCCTCTAAAAAACAGTCAAGTATCAACCGTCGAGTTTGCACCAGTTTGCACGATTTGAAGCAGATGGAATCTGTTTAGTGGCGCCTCCATGTATACAAAACGTTGAATTATGTAGCCACGGATAATTTCCGCGGTGGGTAACATATCCATGGTTTTCGATTTGTTCTGTATTGCGTACATTGTTTGGTTTTATTCCGTTCTATACATATATATACATCTGAAACAATATTATAAAAATAATAACTTGCAAAAGAAGGCTAGCAAAATCACAGTAAAATCTAGAAAATCTTTGGAGTATAACAGTTTTATGCAAAAAACTATAACACATATTGTATTTCTTTATATGTATATGTATATAATATATATAATACGATATTAATAAAGAAGATAGTGTGCGACAAAATAACGAGTTTTAATGTAAATATGTAATGTAAATACTAATATTAAGCTATTAGTAAATTTTAATAAATATAGCAAATTTTAATTTTAATATTGAATTGCACATAGATTTTTGAAAAATTATATTTTACTTATTTCTGGTGCATACATACTTTAACATATTATATATATTATTGCTGTAAACTGTTATCTGATTTTTATAAAAAATACGTACAATTTTAATTCTTATTTTGCGTTTCTCAAAAATAATAGATTACAATTCGAAATCGTCCAGTAATCTCAATTTAATTTATATCCGAAACTGTTGTTGTCGCATTTTAATTATTACTTCGAAAATCATAATTCGTCTCTGAATATGATGTATCAATTTGCATATTACTCTGTATTCCAACATGCTCTGTATATGAATAAAAAAAGCGAATAATTCTCGAAAATTGAAAGTCGCGTATAGCTTGAATTTAATTAAATATATCAAATATATGTTTTAACATCTTATTATCATTAATTAATCATAAAATTCATAAAATATGAGCAATTTTGAAGAAGCAACAAGACAGTTATCAACTATTCCGCCGAATTTCGTACCATACATGGAAAAACACAGATTATATGAATTCTTTTATGTAATTAAATTAGGTCATCTTACTCCGCTTAAATATTTTTTATCGATTTGATTATTTGTTATATTACACATTGTGTTGCATTTTGTATGTATTTTAGATTATATTAGAATGTATTTCATTCTGTTAAATTATATTATTTATTGCATTGTATTATAATATAAAAAAAATTCATAGGAATTAGTGACGCAATTACTGATCCAGCAGCCAGATGACCCAATAGTATTTATAAAACAAAGTGTCCAGCACATTGTACGAAAACGAGATATTTCTAGAGTTATCCTTATAGCTCCTCCGAGTTTCGGTAATACGTTATAGGCAACATTAATAACTAATTGTAAGGATATGTTCTTAAATATAACATGAAAGTCTGCATTAAGAGAAAAATTTATGATATTTGTATGGCTATAATTACATTTTATAATTATAGTTAGAAAGCAGTAATACTAATCATAATTATGATAATATGTAATTATAGTTACAAACATCAAAAAATTTTCTTTTAATATATCTTCATTATTTTCTATATCTTCGGGTATTTGGTAATAATTACATTTATAAAATGCAATATAAACCAAGATTTTTATTTTAAGATTTTCAATATTTGTATCTACCTATTATTTCTAAAATGAATAAAACAGATTTTCTTCTCTGTTGGTACAGATAAAGTGACTCTTGCAAAAATTCTTCAAAAGGAAACAGGGATTTGTCCTGTTTCCTTAGAAGATCTTTGTGCTTCATCTCCTATTGAAGTATGATATTACCAAGTTATTTATTTCTCATAAGATATTTCAGACTAAAAAGTTGCATGAATTCCTTATTTTTGGTTGTACACCAAACGTTTGTTATACATAAATACGTGTATTTTAGAACATGTGCCGTTGTTATGATGCTAATGAGATAGCAGACAGAATGAAGAAAATGTTAATGTCAGGAATATTTCATGAATCTGGATGGATATTAGTTGGTAATTTTGCTTACGTAAATTTGATTATTGCGTTTAATAAAGTGAACCTTGGATTATTATGGAAAACTGCAACATTATTGCAATATAAGTATTATAATTAATATTACAAGGAAAGGGTAACTAATTTTTTTTCCTCTTTTGCGTAAATAAACAATCTGCTGTACAGATATACCGAGGAATAAAAAGGAAGCACGCGCAATGCAGTATGTCGGCATAATACCAACACACGTGATACAAATTATATCATCCAGTGTAGAAGACAAGATTCGAGAAAAAAGTATACTTACTGGATGAACAATATTATTATATATAATCTTTCCTTTTAAGTCCATTCATATCCATCTCCATCTTTGCAAAACACGTTCATTCTGTAAACATAAATTATAACATTCATATTTTTTCCATATTTTATATATTAACATAATTATAAAACATAAAAAAATATATTAAAATATACAAAGGTCAAAGAAAAATTAAGTTATAAGAAATCTATTTTAATTTTCAGATATTGAAAGAGTAACATATTAATCTTTATGATATAGAATTTTAATTCCATCTAATTCATTTTTTTCTAAATGTTTATTTGTAGAAGATATAAGACAATGCGATTATAAGAGAAATCTTCGAGGTCTACGTGACGCTTATGCTAATCTTTTAAATGTTAGTTATCAATCTTTGACTTTATATTTGTTTATAAAAATATAATAATTATTAAATTAATACATATGTTATTCACACACACACACACATACACACACACACACATATTAATATTCTACATAATATATTTTAGCAAAATAAATTTTTATTCTACAATTACTATAAATACTCGTTGATTGATTCTGTGTTAAATGTTGTTAACTTGTTACAAAATCATGAAAAAAATTCTCTTTAGGAGGTTGAAGCTGGTATTAAAACGATTCAAGAGCTGGGCAAAGATTGCGCGACAATAATGAAAATTAGAAAACACTATGGAGCCCCATCACTCTTTCGCATTGTTCTTATAGGTCCTCGAGGATCAGGTCATCGTTCTTTGGCAAAACATGTATCTGAGAGTTTTAATCTCGTTCATGGTATAATATATATATATGTAATTACTTATAGCGTTTTCTGTTGGCTGCACTATCGCCCACTAGTGCAAAACTCAGACAGTGTACCGTGTTTCCATGGGTGGTGGCAAGCAAACTCATTCGGTGTACCGTGTTTCCGTGGCTACGGTGTAGTGCAAATTTTATGCATGAAGTGGGATTTTGCTACACCGTCTCAAAGGGACGGTGTAGAATTAGTGTGACATTTAAAATTTGAAAATGGAAGTCAAGCGGAAACAGGGTTTTAGCGCAATAATGATGTAGTATACACCATATGGTGTGCACCACTCTAGTGTAATGTAGCTGAGTGTAGCGCTTGCACGCAACTGGTGAGGTGTGAGAATGCACCCAGTGTATCCCAAGAGAAAACGCTATTAGTAATATCTTAATACTTTTTCTAAAAATTATACATATATTTTATTAAAAAGATTTATTACTCATCTCTAATATTATATTTTGCAATAATTTTTGTCAATATATTAACCTTTAGTTAGACAAGTTTGTTCTTAATAATAATAATATTTCAAATAAAAATATATTATATACTTTTACAGTTGATTTTAATAATATCTTGGAAGAAGCATGTTTGCGAGAGACGGCTTTAGGTGAAATGCTGCGAATGTGCGATCACAGATGCGCACAGAAAATAAAATCAGATGCGCAAGTACAAATTATTGAGGTGTTGATTATAGTTCGCTAAGAAACATTAAATTGATTTGGCATCGTATTTGCATTGTCATTATTTCCAGCGATATGTACTCGGGTCTGAGTGTCTCAAGAGAGGATGGATTTTGACAAGTTATCCTAAAACTGTAGAGGAGTTCAAGCTCCTAGATATGATATCTACACCACCCAATAGGTAAATCTTATAAGAAATAATTCCAGAAATCCCATAATAATTACGATTTTCGAAATTATGTTCAGAGTCATCGTCCTCAAAATAGACGTACAAACGTGCAGAGAAAGACTCTTAAATCGTGAATGCAACTTTACCACTGAAAGCGAGCATGAGTTCTCATCGTGCGAATCTTCGGTAACAGATCCTGACTATAAATTAGATGTTCATTCCAATAATTATGAAGACATCATCGAACAATATGTAACTACCGTATTATGTCTTAAAAAATTTTCTTATTCAAAGTTTAAATAAGTACTTTATTTTATTATTTATAGTTGGAGAAACGTAAATGATAAAAATGATAAATTACAAATATTTTCTGTTAACAATTAAACTGCATTTTTAATTTTATTTATTTTTTAGATATTAAATTATATTTATATATCTTACTCGATTTATTATTATAATTATTTTTGCTGTTACTCGCAAAATGTAGCTTCAGGAATACGAAGAAAATATAGATACCATATTGCAATACGCGGGAGAAACTGCGTCCGTAATAAATGCGACAGGTGAAAAAAAGTGCGTGAAGGATAGACTGGAAGCATGTCTGATGCGTCCAGCACCGTCTGCGAAACCCAGAATTCCCTATCCACCTCCTACAATCGATCCAATGGACATAGAATTTGATCCTGACGACGAACCCGACCTAAGCATCTTCGATGACATACGAGCGCCAGAGCCTAAATATTCTTTCATTTAATGACCTTCAAATCATTCTTATGTGCAAACATAAACAACAAATAATATTTCAGTTTATGATGTATAAAACACAGTTCAATTCTCCAATCGTTATGTAATTTTTTTCAATTTTATTTTCTCTCTATATTCGTTGTAATCAAATTTGAAAATGGTCCATTTTCTTCGCATTGAAACCTTACTTAGAATTCAATATTCCATACCTTTTTTCATTATATATATATTCTAAACCACACTTTAATTATTTCTCCTCAAGAGAGACGTGTTTAAATTAATCAAAGATCGGTAAACTAAATTTTAATAAAAAAAAAAATGAAAGAGTTATATT